ATACACAGAAAAACGGTGAACATTGCTTATAAAAATATTTATCTTGAATCACTTTATCTATTTAAAAAAACCGCATCCAAAACCTTTCCTTGGTTTTAAAGTTTTAAAGTTTTTTTATACTATATAATTGATTTTTGATTTATTATAAACAAGTTGAAAAACTTTCGAAGCTTCGTATAACCCTCGGCCCGTTGGTTCATACATTAGTACCATAAGATCAAGGAACGCCTCGTTTAATATCTTTCAATTTAAGTGACCCAGGGTGCAATATAAGTTCGGTCCCGGGATGGCTCGATCGATTTGCGCTTGAATGGAGAGAACTAAGGCGACACTGGAGTTAGTCGACTGTTACATTGTCATTTTCAATGCGACGCCAGGGTGGGAAAGTTCTTTGTAATCTATTGAATAACCTTATAGCTGTTTAAACATATATGTATCTATAACATGTCTACTGAGTAGGTAAGTTGATTGTGAGGATCACCTACGTGGGGTACCTACATGATTTAACTTGCCTGTTTAAAATATTGATTTCACTAAATTCTGTTTGTAGAATCGACAATGTAATTTGAAAGAAAGTTTTTCCTAATACTTAACTCCAAGAAGTCCTTTGCCAGGCCGATTACAATGATTAGCAAAAAGGTGATCTTTAAATATATAATAATAAATGAATAAACATTATATATAGAGAAATTGGTTTATCACGTTGCAATATTATAAAAAGAAAGGTGTTGCCTATACCTTTACCTAATAAAAACATACGTTATTTTATGTTTTATATAAAATATAAAAAAGTAAAACATATATTTAAATAATATTTATACAGTATCTGTGGTCTAAAATATCAACAGCTTTTCAGGTCGTAATATACTGTAGCAGTATGTTTATATTGTGAAATACATAGGAGTATAGGAATGTTTTTTCAAATAAAACCAGCGAATATAAATCAGATTGCTTTAATTTTAGTTTAATACAAATCGACTCCTACTTACGATAATCAATTTAACGAATTACCGTATTACCCGTTGGTTTTAAATATTTTTTACAAATTTATTTTTTTCTTTAGTGACATCTATTATAAAAACCTCCATAGGGGCTTCTTTACAAACTTACATTAAACGGTTTATCTTAGCTGCAGTCGTATTTTAATTAATTTCTTTAATTACGTTGACTATTTTTAAGCCACAGGAACACAATTTGGAATTAGACGAAAATATATTACTTTCTAAAAGACAAGTTCGGCTGACACCTGCGATGGATTGACAGTTGATTAGGAGAGCTCGGCGCTAAGGAAACAAATGAAGTACGATATTTTGGTGTTCCCCACGCCCAGAGCAATATCTCGATAATTTATTATATTTTGTGACAGCAAAACTTGATTCTAGAATTTGTCGAGACATCGTTTTTCTCGTTGACAGATAAACAAATCGTATAACAATAATTCTTGGGCATTATTTCATGGTATCATACAGTTTATCCACCTGTCACGAGTCACGTTTTTCTCACTGTAAATTAAGTAAAGTACACATGCAAAGATAATTACAAAACTTCTAGTCTTAAAACCATCATATACAAACATACAAGAAAATAGATAAAGTTTACAATAGCCACAGATTATAATAACAGCGGTAATTTTAAGGGTCTGGAAGGAAATTGTTATAAATATAAGAAATATTGTGTTAGAAATATTTGTATGATTAATTTAGGAATTACTTGTTATCGTAGTTTTTATATATTTTTTCATTTAGTATGAGCGTGTCCGGCCAAAGATTGAGTTTGGAGTCACTTCCACTAATCCTCTTGATATATGACGAATCTTTCACCGGACTTGAAAAAAATGTAATAAATATGACGAAACATTTTGTGCACAGTGAAAAGTCGAAAAAGCAATATTAAAATATAAAATTACAAAGGACGCTATGAGTTCGGATTAAGAAACCTTAGATTTAATACCTTAGAAGTTCAGAATACATTGAGTCCAAAATACCTGTTTCAAGTTTAAAGCATCGAGTCAAGGTTGTGTATAGGTGCAATTACGAAATTAAACTTTTGGTCCAAGATTGTATGAAACCGAGACAAATCGAAAGAAATCTGAGCGAAAACATCTATAGAAACGTGTTATATTTTAGCTGGCTTCCACCACCATCAGTACTATTTCATTATTCATTATTTATTCCTATCTATGTAATTGATGCGAGCATAATTCAAAATATGGCAGCTTTATTTCCTTATTTTAAGAGTTCTTATCTCTTATACACCTAACTAATGAGTCCAGTTTACAGTGTGAAGCAAAACGAGATCGTGGAAAAAGGCAAAATCATAAAACAGCTGGTGATTAGTTAGAGACGTTTAGTTAACCCGGTCCTAGGCAGGTCGTTTATTGTAATCTCTTATTTTATTCATTTACCGTAGATCGACTCTACTCCGTTTAAATTTAACATTTTATCAAACATTGGAGCGCCGCCGACGAGCTCTATATATTCACAACCTCTCAATAATATTTTAATTAACTAAGCTTTTAAAATTGGCTGGTAAACCGATCGACGCCGCCCAATGCCGTCAACATTAACGATAAATTATATTAACAAAGACACTATTTCGTTTTTTTTTTATTTTTACAATAAATCTCTCAATTTTATGATTATTTAAACGCCTATCATCGAACTTAAGACGATATTAGTATCTCCTAAAATTTGGCACTAATAAATCTATTTATCGTACCTTTTAAACGCCTCGTCGTTAAAATTCAAAAGTTTAAAACTGTATAAAATCTTTAAATCATAACAAATGATATAAGGTACGTCGAAGAAATGATACACACGTTTACCAGCACCAAACAACTGTGAGTTAAGGAAAGTAGAGTAACAAACATACATATAAAAGATGTATATTATCAAAATCTCAATTCACGTTAATAACGGAAGAAATAGAAATTAAACTGAAATCCACGTCACAGTACATGACGCCAATGAGTCAATTCCGAAATTCCAATACACTTTATATAGAGAACACATTGAAACAATTTATTATTATTCTATTTATTAATTCACTAATTAGTGAGCCTCCTTATGATTTAATTAAATGATGATAAACTAGTAAAGAGGGACACGACGACTAATCTATCACGACATCTATAAGAGCGAAATTGAGGAACGGACATAGATAGACTTATCGACATAGTGCATGGACTGAGCGATGACGAGAGGAGTGCCCACTCTCCATTGAAACCTAGGCCAGAAGTTGACATTTTCAGCACAATAATTTCACTTGATTATATTTATATTAAATTATAACAATTGATAAAAACATACAATATAAAAGCATTTTCTCTTCTGAAAGTTTTTGACGGTTTATGACCTGAAATGGGTATTAACAAAATAATATTATACTCAATAAAACTTTTATACAATTATAATTAAGCTCAGTCCATTGCGTTAGTCAATTTTAAAGATGTGAGTAAATTTACACGATAAATTTCCATAGTATTACACTAACAATATCATCCAGAATAAACATTGTTAGTCACAAATCCCAGGAGTATGAAATATTTTTTTAAAACGTTACGCAATACGCATGCTATTAACATTCAAAACTTAAATTGTGATTGTAAATGTAATACTATGTTATTTTCATGAATAAATATTAATTTCGTATTACAATATACGTAACTATATCTACAATACTCACTAAGTTACAGTTACTCAAGGTCTAATGAGATTGGCGCACCCTCAGAGTATGTATAAGGAATGCGGTAATGCGGTTAAAATCATAACAGTAAATCTAATAAATGTAGCTTTGATATATTAAACCCGTTGCTGGAGTTGAAATCAATAGTGCGTTTGTGATTATATATTCCAGTATCATGCCACAGACAGCACTGTGTTATAAAGAGCACACAAAGCCATTTCCCAGTTATCATTTGTTAATCTTGTGGCAATAGTAATTTAAGCCCACCATCCGTTATAAAGCCGCGAGGTGGGCCTAAATCCTGCCCTATGAGGAATTAATGTTCAGAACTTATTCGCCTCAGGGTCTAGACCAGAAAAGCCCCAAATACTGTTAAGAAACAAATGCATTCTTCTATATATACTCTTAGAAACACCAATCCAATAGTATCACGTAGTGCTTCAAACGTAAAAGTATTTTATTCGGTCTCGCACTATTTCTTGTTGATACCAGAGTAGCTTCGAATATATCATTAACTTGTTGCTACGTGTTCTATTTGGTTCTTTTCAATTCCACAAATAAACAATTCCGAGTTCTATTTAAATTTGCCCTTTTCTAAATAGCCAATTCAAGATAATGAAACCGGGGCTGATTCTACTAAACTACATTTAGAAAGACAACAACAGATCCACAATCTAACTTTGATTATAAACTCAAATTGTATATAGATATAACGGCAGATAAAACAAATTGTATATTGTAATATTACATTGTAAAACCGATAAGAAGATTACTGTTATATTAACAAAGGACCATTCGAATTGGACCTTTCAATAGAAGTTAGTAGGATCAGCCAATGAGTACCGCACAACGCACTACTTGAGCTATCGTCTCTACCTGACCAGCTTATGTACACGACTAAATAATCTAAGGTAATGTCATTGTCAATGTTCCCTTAGTAAAATTTTGCTTTTATCTGATTCCCATTAAATTCCATTACATTTATCTCCGTAACGTCTACAGATACAATTCAACGCTAAACGTACGGAAAAGTATCAAGCGCGTGTCGAGTTATTATTTATGCGTTATTCATAGAAATATATTTTAACAAATCGTCGTCAACATTAATCTGTATTTATTCCTATTCAACATCACAATTGTTTTATAATAATGCTGCTTAATATCGCTAATGTATAATACATTTACCGTCTTTCGACTTAACGAGGCGTGTGCGTATAGACCACGTACCTGATTGATAGTATAATAGTAAATATAATTAGAGTAGGTACTAATATTAGTTCTCTCGAAGAATTGCGATTCGGACCTAGCATTAGTGTTCATTGAACGATGATATGAGGAGCCGACAACAGCACCGCGACCGTCGCTATGATGGTAAATAGTGTGAACACGAAGAGACAGAATCTGTGGATGAAGAATATGTTATAGGTTTATTGAATTTAAATCTATAATTAACGCAAGAGGTTTTGTACCAATCCGGGGGAAACATCATTGTTTCATACGGGTAGACTAAAAAGTCTGATCTTGTTGCTGACTTGCTGGTACTAAATGTTTTGTGAAACGGCCATTAAGATGAGACTGCTTTTACTCGATGTAGGTGTAACGGAGATAGTAAGTTTAAAAGCTAAAAAAGACGGCAAAGGAAGAGTTTGTAATATTTATTAAGGTAGGATTACCTATCAACAACCATCGCCGCAAACTTCCAGTCGCTGATGAGTTCAGCTTCCTCATCAGCCTTCTTCATCCTCGCGGTGATGAACTGCAGCTCTCTGAGTATGAGGTGCAGTTCCCGGTGATGGCTACCTAGGCCTCCGCCCACGTCCTCCATGGTCGACGGCCTCACGAACGACCGACGGAAATCCGTTCTAAATATTGAACAGCTGTTAACAAAAATAAATATATTTTTGTTGGACAAGCGCTTAGCGCGCACTATACCTTTTGACTACTTAATATCTTGAACTATGAATATTATTATACTGCAAGAAGACTAATTTATTTTATGTTAACTAATTAAAAACTTGTAACCATTCTGTTAAATCCGTTAATAAGAAGTATTAACGGAAAAGATCTTCCTACACCATTCTTTCTATGTTTTTATATAATTTAAATATTGAAGAGTAAAGTTATTGTGAAAATGTATTTAAAACATAGATTTAATATTTTATTTAATTATTTACCTTTTGGACATTAACAGGAGCTATTTTTTTCTTTTCTTATTTACTTTATTAAGAACGAGATATTTGATAAGTAAGAGTTAGTAAGATATTTCTCAAGCAATGTGATTATTGTCTACCTAAATCTCTTGTCATAGTGCCATTTTATTCAGCTAATCACAATATATTATTATATTTTATGAGGTTCACTTACCCAGGTCCCAAATTGCCCGTCGACGCAGTACTATTCGGCGGAGGAGGCACATGTCTAAAGTCATCGTCTATATCTAACACGTTCGCTAAAAGTGATTTGGAAGATCGCTCTTTCAGTTCCAACTCCCGCATCCTATTTGACATCATTATCGTTTTTCTCGTTATCTTCTTTCCTGGCCTCGACATCCGCAGGATCCATGGCAGCCATTGTAGGAACACTGTTTTAATCTGTGGGCATTTTGAAAATAAAACGACAATCCAGTGTTAGGGTAAATAAAAAAAATCTGCATTAGTATTTCTTTTTTTCAAATTTAGATCTTTGATTTACGATATATTGCAGACACAAATGTATCCATTAGAAAAGTTCGGCTTACCCATTGCGGCATTTCGTGTATATCCGCGGTACGATGGTGGTAATTTAACACCACGACTGTCAATACAACTGACGATGCCACCATGAACATGATGCAATTGAAGTATGTCCCTGTTACATAGATAATCAATTTTAATCCACATTCATATAATGATTAGGCTAGTTGAGTATACGTTGCTTACAGTCCAACAAACAAATATTATATGAAAAGTGAAACTCATACTAGAGTTATAGTATGACTATTTATCACTTACACATAATATCAACTAGCCTAAATAATAAAATTAATGATAATTTAATATTAAGCAAAATTTATAAAAACCATAATTTCACATGTTTAGCGATTTTTTTCTACTTTATTAATGTTTAATGTTTTTTTTACTACGTTTCTAGTAACACAAATTATCCAATAACTAACTAAAGTTTGTAAAATCTTCTTTTTTTTTCATTTTGATGTAAAATTTTCTATATCATAATCAAAATTTAGGCCATGCAAAAGTGCTAGTTACATGCTAGTCTTGACAATAAATTATCCATAGTCATAGTGTAATTGAATAAACTTGTCTATGGTTGCAAACAACGGTAAAGTTTTAACAATTGTGGTTACCACGGAGATTTAGTGCTCTAAAATATTTATATGACTAAATAATATTTACAGTGTACAATTAAAACATCAGTTGAAATTAACGAGACGGTGCAATTAAAATAAAAAAATGTAAACAGAGGCCTACTGTAAAATATTGGCAAAGGATAGAATACAATAAAAGCGGAGAAATGTTAAGTTTCCTGTGACAATACGTTTTTGTTAGGGTAGTTTTTATGCAGACCGGATGAAAGCCGACATCTGTTCCTTCACGAGATACTTGGAGGATGGGCCGTCTACCCGCATTCACTTCACTTTAACTGCTATTTAATTCCGAACTCTTTATACATCTACAAGCAAAACCATTCCTGCGTATTTGAAGCTTATTAGCAGAAGTTTAATTAGGAGAGTTGTGCTTTATTCATTTGTTTAGAACATGCTCGCTGTTATCTGACGTCAGTAGTCACCGAATACTACATTAGATGACAGATATTGAAGAAAATACTATGAATGGACAAGAGAGTGAAGAATGAAGATCATTTTAAGACATTACAAGAAGATCGATAGAATAAATCGACTAAGAAGGTCAACTATTCGGCAAACCGATCTTCCAAAGCTAAAACTCAGATTTCGGATCTAATTAACCAAAACCGCTTTTAATCAACAAGCACAGAGTTCTCGTCTATTTAGTCTTTAACGAAGATGAGTTGAGGAATTTTAATTTGAAATATTTTAAACTTCCTCACAGCCCATTCGTCGAGTTTATTTAAAGAATTTAGAGGAGAATTTTAATTTAGCTTATTATATTTTACAGCGGCGCCCGTTTCTCACCTATTAGGGGGATCGCCTCTGACGTTTTAGTGATGACGTGCCCCACCAATAGAGAGAAAACAGTTTGCGACAGGAGAATTGTAACACCTGCAAAGATCAACAAAATATTCTATCATAAATACACTACAGGACATCTCCGTGGTCATTGCAATGGATCCCCAGGTCAACGTCACCGGTCCGATCAAGAATGTGTGCAGAGTCGGTACAGGGCTCAAGTAAAACCAATAAACAAAACAAAAACATGCAGAAACTATTTTAGATAGGACCTTTTAATTTATTCAGCTTAGCAACTTCGTTTAAGGGAGAGTAACGTACTAGCCCAAAATACCCTCCAAGTATCTAATTTGATAGTAATTATTCACCAGTCGATTGATGTCTGACAACACCAAAACACAACACAAACACCCTGGAATCGATTACGCGAAGACTCAAACTTGCAAGATCAAAAGCAAGGAGAAGGAAACTTACCTCCAGAGCTTAAAGTAAGAAAATATTTACCAAACATGCCATGCATATTATATATTTAACATTGCAAAGTAAATCAAAGTCGGGAGAAGTTAATATATGATGTGAAACTCATAGCAACAGGAAGGAAAATAAAAATCATACTTTATAAGAGCAAAATCAAAATATTGAAGGTATCACGAAATCGATTCCAAGTTAACAACACAAAGTTCACAAAATAAACTATTCAAACGAATCAAAGGTAAAATTGAATAGAAAAGCTTACTGTACTTGGTAATTTCAATAACGATACACTGAATAAGCCAAGCGCAAACAGACCTCATTGATACTGATATAGAAAATAATACCATTGCTCATAAACCTTTACTCCTTGTAATGTTTTAAAATATATTTTTAAATTTTCATTTAATGGAAGGAAATGATAATGACAGACCAGATAATTCAAATAAATGAACTGAATGAATGAAGATAAAATGAAACAAAATAAGGATAAAGGGTTGGACGAAGTCGCGGCAAGGCGTGGGTAGTGTACCTAACAGGGGGATTGCGTCGGAAACCTGCGGCAGAGTCTCCGCAACCAGGTTGAGAAACACCGTCAGCGATAGTAGAATAGTGACTCCTGAAATCAAACACATGGTTAACCCGGCCGAAGTCACTCGAGACTACCGCATCCACAATAGCACACAACTCTCCAATCCAATCCGTGGCTTGCTTTCCCCTTTGATGATTGTGTTGTCGACGATGTTCTAGATGACGTGATCGGGAGCTTGGATTACTAAGACTGACACCTTATGAAAACACACAATCATCTAGTGCAACTACCAGTGTAGACGCACGCTGCTTACAATGTAGCTACTAAAAATTAAATCCATTTAAATTTGGGGACAGTTTTATTGTAGTAGAGCAGCGTGCGTATATCTTACTATAACTTCCAATAGCGCTCTGTACCAATGAGAGGCACTGCGTCCGATGTGGTAGGCATCTTTTCAGCAACCAGGTTCAGAAAAACAGTCAACGACAATAATATTGTCACACCTGTTGACATCAGTTATCGAGCAGTTTAGAATTAAATGATTATTGTTATTAAGATTTAAACTGTCTATAACTATTGTTCGCTTTATTAATAAGTTTCTTTGCAAAGAGTTCTGGTAAATTAAAAAATGTTCAAACATTATATTTAGAGTAATGCGCAATAATGAAAAGATAAACATTATATCTAGTTAGGTAATATATAATCTAGAAACACTGGTTTTGAAAAGAGGCCAAATCCAAAGCGAAACACCACAGTCTCCTCGAAGACAGCATCAGCTCAGATTGGAAGCTTGAATTGAATAAAAAAATATACTTACCCAGTGTCAGCTTTTCTCCGGAGTCCGGAGGCAAAGTGAAGCCCAAGAGAGCCATAGAAGATATTAGAACACAGGGCACTATCAGATTGAAGAAATAGTATAAAGTTCTTCTGCGTATCATTATTGTGAAAGTCACGTCCACGTACGGCTCGGGGCAGCATGCGTAAGTTATTGTGTTCTTTTTTCCTGGCATTCCTGTTATAGAATACATTGAGCGATATATTTTTATTCCCCACTTTTAATCACACTTAACTTATATCACAGCTACAGCGCGCTTTAGTAATATTGAAATGTTACTGTGGTGACTTGATATAACAGTTTATGAGGATGATGGAACAGTTTATGGTTACATAAATATATGTTTCTATTACATATAAATGCCAATTTAATAATTCAATTAACCTCTAGCTAGCAAACCTGTATATATTAATAAAAAATATATTAAAGCTTAAACGGAAACTTAATATGTTACTTTCTGAAAAATAATTTCAAAAACGATACACCTATTGTCACAACTGACGAGTAAAAAGACAATGCAAAAAGAATTAAACGATAATTTTGAAGAATCAATTACTATGAGGACTCATACAATTTACAAACCTATTAAATACCATTCTCCGTTCGTTATGAAATCCGATAGATCACCTCCCGATTCATCCTTGAGCACCAGATCCAACTGTTTATAAATTGTCATTATTATTATTCCCATTTTCAGTGAAACCTTCACATGCAATCTACCATGCTCTCTGTCATATAAGATATTCGGGAAATGTGAGAACCATTATCCAATGTGCTAGGTAGGGTCGACCAATCAATAATCGTAAATTCATGCTTTTTAAACTAGTTTAATTATAATTACTGCCATACGATACGCGTCAAAGCTTAAGTGCATGCTTGATAACATAAGGGATAACGAAAATAATGACAATTAGAACACTAAACAGCAAACGTATTGCGTACGCGTATGGCAGGTGAAATACAGTTTTATCGTGTTTAATATTTAACTTCTTTTGCACCATGCAAAATAGTACATACAAATCATTAGGATAATAAGAATTATCCTCCTGGTTTCTCACATGGTTCCCTTAACTTTCAACCCGTGCCTATTCACTTTAAGCGCTCGCTCGTACCGAGAGCAACGTTATAACACTAGAACTAACGTCAAGTATGCGTTTGAAAGCATAATAACGCCCGAGTATTTAATATATTAGAAAAAAAACACAAAAATGTAAGCGCGCTGATGGAATCGCCGAACCGTGGGAAAAACAGACGGCGAGGAGTGAAAACGTAACAAGCTCGAATTTTTTCAGTACACCCGGCTTATTAATTAGATTTTTGTATGCATGAAAATTCAAAGAGGAAGTACTCGCATTTAACATATGCGAATATTTCTCTTTCACATCTCATTCAACGCTTGTTCGAAATTATATTGAATTTCATCAGCTTTGATACTTGTTACTGGAGTGTAAGACACTCTTACTGATTTCAATTTATTTTTCTGACCTTACTATTTAAACCTCTGATTCGGTGTTATGCATTTAACTTAACCTAACTCTTTAGAAAAGGAGCGCTTCACACAAAAGTGTAATAATATTTAATTCTTAACCTGAACTAGTTCATCTAACCTACAAACTGTTCTTTGACCGCTGAATGATGAATGAAAATATAAAAAAATGTTTGCCTTGAATCGTTTACCTAACGACGTTTTTAAATAATCACATATAATTTCATATCCTGATGCTAAACTATTAAAACTTTATTTATCCATCCTAACTAACCCGTTCCCATTTATTGTAATCAATAAATCTGTGAAGAGTTTGAGATAGTGAAAATGTCAGAGCGCTCTGGCATGTACCTGGTTGCCATCGTAGGTCCAGCTACCAAACTTCATGTCACAATGTTGGTCGTCGAAAGGAAACCACGTGATGTCTATCTTACATGTGCTCTTGAAAATGCCCGGAGGCACGTACAGGCAACTGCCGTTGTTTCTGACCACCACATTTGTCTGGTACGTCCCGTCAAAACCCTCGTCAGCACTATACCAAACAACACTTGTCATTGAGCGCTAGTGTAATAATAGAGCCGCTTACAACTTAAGCCGTCAGAACACCCATTATATTTATTTGAAACTGACAGGTGATCTTTTTAGAGATTCCAAATTAAAAAATCAACACATATAATATTCAAACAGTATATAAAATAATAAACTGTATTATTACACATTGGCAAGTTATGTTGACACAACATAATGAAACTCCTAAATGAAATATCTTTTTTTTTCCTAATTTTCCCTAAAATCTAAAATCCTAGTCTTATTTGGGCGTGGGATTGAATGGTGTATGTTTATTATTATTTAACCAAATTGAAAATATAAAAAAAAAATCTTTATCATTTGCAGGAGAGCATATATATATATTTTTTATATTTGTTAAACATATAGATTTAATGGTTTATTTTTAAACATTTAAAAGATTACACACTATTTATAAGATTTTGTGCATTATAATTATAATAGAAAAATCATATAGCAAATTTCTAGTGCTGTGATATTTAAATAACATATACATAGAATAGCATAATCTGTGGAATCAACAAATGGATATTGTGAATATAAATTATTCACAAACAACATATCCCATACCATCCGCCGCCAAAAATTTGTCAATAATAATGCAAACTCAATGAATAAATTAAGCAAACTCCCTGCGTTGTATCTGATGACTTTCCAACATCAAACAATTTAATTAAAAAAGAATTGATCTTTAAGAGTGAAACAAAATAACTCATAATTGAGTCAGAACGAAGAGAACTTCAAAAGATAAAGTTCAAACATATTAAAATCATCAAAGAAATATTGCTATGGAGTATATTAATGGCCAAACGAAGCTTGTAGGAAGGAATATTTACAGACTCGATGTTTATTTGTGTCAGAAGCAAAATAAAGTAGCTTTATATTTTTTATTTAGTGCTCACGTTTATCAGGGACGTTATTTACTCTGCTGTCAACGATAAAGTTATCGTTAAATTAAATCTCTTTATCATTAACGGCTGTTTAAATCATTCCTTCGCTTATACAGATACAGTTTGGTTGTTTTCTAAATGTCACATCTTCCTTATTTTTTTTTTGTAGAAATATTGGTATACTGTTATTTTTTAAACCAAAATAGCTATTGTAATAATTCCTTTCCCAATATCATTACTAGACATGATAATTGTATTAATTGTAACAACTTTTGAATTTAGAACCTAGATTTATTACAATTTAAGTTAAGAAACTCATTATTAACGATTGAATTACGTTATTTTATAATTAACGGTTATTAATAACATATATACAAGTTTCCGTTATTTAAAGAAATAATTATTGCGATCAGATTTTTTTAAAATCCATCTCATCGCAAGTTGGAATTAAGAACCAAACGATATTTATCTGATAAGCGAAACAATGGTTGTGGTGTTTCAAATCAGCGACTATGGTGCCATGTACGTTTATTATGGCAACACGAAATAGGAGGTCTACTCTCGCGAACGATTGTTACTTGCACAAGTACCAATCGTAAATCGGCCTAACCTCCTACTGTGTTGTCATAGGTTCTGAAAGGAATTCGGTTATTATATGCCAATCTAGACTGCTATAGTGAAATAATGTAACATATAATTAGAAGTACATACCATCAATCAACAAAATAAGGTATCCATTTTAACCTATACTAATGGATTTACGAAGTGCATTACGCGTTGGAAATAAAAAACTCAAAATTGTATGTAGTACACACAATCACGAGAAATGTTTTAGTATGCGAGTTAATATTTCAAATGAGCAGTCTAGAGAGGCGCGAACATTCTGTTAGAAAATTTTCAGGCAAATTTATTTTCACCTCAAATGCAAAGCAAAGCTTATTATTTAAGTAAATATTATATATGCAGGTTAACGTGCATACGTTAAGAATAAAATTAATAGTTTAAGAGTAATTTTTAATTTACTAACCCAGTGTAGAGTATAAGCCAGCAACAGAAAGTTTTTTTGAGATACAGAGGAAGTAATACGTTCCCAAACTTATTTCTCCGTCATTACACGAGGGGTTTATTAGTTTTACCAAGTCGACCGCTGTGCCTAGGGCAAAAACTTGATACTTTTTCTCCTACACGTTATTCTTACATTGCTTGTATAATATTCGGATGTTATATTAGCATAATTTTAATAGAGTAAAAACAATTCTGTTATTTTAGCGTCGTAGCCTTGTAGCTCGGTAGCACACAGTTTAACGTAGCTGTTACGTAGCTCTTGCATACGTTATACGTAGCGATAGTTGCATTAATGACTACTATTCTTATGAATTGGGTAACTTATATAAGCGATTTAAATTATATAATAGAATACTTTTAAATGATTAAAACGCAAACTTTATCTGTTAAAATCTTGTTTACCACGGCCCGATTTTGGGATTATTTAACAGCCCTGATTTTATATGTCGCATTTTAATACGTTATTAATGAGCTCCATACAAATCTTATATAGTCTTTAAATTGCATTTAAGTATTAAAATATATTGAATTAACTAACCCATGCTAATTTTTAATACGAATTAAAAATAAGGAATTGTTTTCGAGATTATTGAATCGTTATATTTTTCTATTATAGAAGAAATTATTGGGTTTTAAGATCAAGAGTGACAGTTTAATTTATTTACTTTAACATATCATCGCATTTTAATTAGTTCACAGCAAAATTATAGCGTGATAACTTATTATAAAAAGAACACGAAAACTCCAAATTAAAACTTGAATGCAGCACTATTTAATAGTTAACTAAAATACTGTGTAAATGAATAAACAATGAGTGAATTCGGTGCAAATTTAACACGAGTCGTAGTAGGGTGTATTCATGAATTGTGTAGCGCGTCAGTTTGGACGTACGCCAGCATATTATGTTGGGCCGCCTGTCTCACCGCCACGAACTCGAATCTTGTAAACACTGCAAACGGTCGGTAATGTTCTGAATAAAAATCAGACATGTTTGCATTGAGAATGCACCTACGTGCCGATGTGTGAATAACGAATTTTGTGTCTGTTTACTTCTGAGTTTGAAATAAAATTGAAGACGTTACTGATTAGATATTTATAAAAATGCGAATAGTAAGATAATAATTTACCTCATTATCTTGTACCTTCTTACAAACATGTGGTTCATTTGATGCAAGGAAAAGTAAATATATATATGGCTGGATTACTTTTCCTTCCATCATCTAAACAAAGCAATAATATTTTATTATGTGTTATTACACATAATTTCACGTTAATCGTTGTTACGTTCTGGTATAAAAGCGCTTTCACAAACGCACCACTGAAAAACTGTAAACAAGGTAGCTATTACAGAAATCTGTAAGTGATTTCAGGACTTATCAAACGCCGTACAGCTATTTTGGACGTCGGCCAACTTCGTGCCCACAGCTTGGACCAATTTCCCTTGTTATGAAAGTACTTTGATACTTTCTCGTACACTCACTGTTAAACTTATACTTTGGTGTTCTCTATTTTTGAAGATAAAATTTATTACAGTGCTGCACAAATATTATTGATTTCCAGTTATGATATCGTACCAATATGGAAAGATTGCTGAATAGATAAGTTTTGTTTGCCTAGAGATAAGATAGATTATTAGACGGATACAAAAGTATGGCCAACCGACGAATATGGGTTTTAAGTGAATGATTGTAAGTGAACCAGGCTTATAAAATTAAAATAGGAAGAGGCTTTGGATATTGATGAATGAAACCGAAACGAGATTAAATTTAACGACTTTTTCATTTCTGGGACGGTGGCTCGTGACTCAGACGGAATTTCGATATTACTATCATCTATTTAATATCTAGATGAAGTTCAACATATCCCCACATCGAACCCACAGCCTGTTGCTTATTAGTCATAGTTTGCTGGCACCAAACCAGCGAGGCTTAAACAAGTTTCTGGGCCCTACACAATTAGACCCTTTTATCATTTATCCCAGGGATGCACTTTGCCCTTCAGGGCAGAAACGACTAAAAGACGCGTTTAATCATTGAGCCACTGGGGCTAAGAAACACGTTCCAAGCTGGAAGTAACTGAGAACAGCTATTCCATTCACTATGTTGGTTACTCGAGTCCTTAATTACAATTGAGTGAAATGGACAAAGCACGTTTATATTATTAAAGCAGTTATATTGGCTATCGTCCTCTCTGTCGAGCTTAATATTTCGATTAAGTTAAACCGAGTTAAATTTCGCTTAACCCCTTATCTCAAATTCATACGAGTCACTTAAGCGGGTCCAAACGTTTTATACTCCATTTACGGTATTAGAGAATTTGATATTACTTTTTATTTTTGTCGTTATATTCTGCAATGCTGTTACAGCTTAGCTTAAATGTTAATATTTGTAGAAATCATCCTATTGCGAAGTATTTTTAACAAATTTCAGAGTCGTTTTATCTTAATGTTATGATTTTATGTGTAGAATGAATATAAAATATATGAATCACTAAAATTACGCTTACCCGGGATTCAAACCTTTCGCGACTACGTAATTAAGGCAAGGTCTCTACAATTGAGTCACAGTGATATGTGTAAATCTTTTATAATTTAATATTTGAACTTTTTTATGACATTCTGGAGCACCGTAATACTAACCAGACATTTGCGGTTAACCAAGGGTTCCTCGAGGGGATCATCGATCTCGACTAAGACCGCCGCTGTGCTGGTAGGAGCTTTAAAGGCCGGACGGATGCTCGTACAGTAAGTGGTACGTTAAACAAGAAATCTCACCGGCAAAGGTGGATCGCAACTTTGTAAAAGTCGTCGTCAGTGTTGTGTAACGTGGCTTCATCAAGCGGGGATTACTGTATGCGGTGATGCTAATAGCTTTTGCCACCATTGTGCTCGGATGTGAAGCGACTTTTTAAAAGTAGAATCATTGAAGCATATAATTTATACAGACACTATAACAATAAAATGCAACTTAGTGTTATCGGACATTGTACGAACATTAAACTTACATCAAACCAATCGATGTAAAAGTAATCAAA